AAAACTGTGATGAGAATATAATTTTCTTTCCCTTATAGCTCACTTGCTTATTTTTGTCTAAATGTTCAAGGAATTAAAAAAAAAAATTAAGTCTAAATTTTACTAGAATAGGCCTTGGTGTTAGCCATCTCGGTTGATATTCTCAGGTAAATGATGTGCTCTTCCAATATATGGCTTCAAATCTTTGATATTTTCAGAAAATGTTTTTTGAATTACAGTTTTTAGTTATTTCTTCCACACTTTTGCTTTGTTTTGGTTTTCTTCTGTAATGATTCCTATTATAATTATGTTGGATCTTCTTTGCTTATCTTCAATATTTATTATTTTCTCTTGAAATCTATTTACCTTCCTATTTTTATGTTTTATTTTTCCCTATTCACCCTTTCTCTTTAGGCATTATCTGTTATGTTTATTTAACTACATGTTACATCTAGTTTAATCTTCACCTCTAAGATATTTTTTTCTTTTACTTTTCTTCCCTTCTTGAGTTGTATCACCTCTTTCCTGAGTTTTTTTTTTTAACTTTGATTTAAGGGGTGCCTGGATGACTCAGTTGGTGGAGCATTCTCCACCAAAAGAGCATGCGACTCTTGATCTCATGATTTTAAGCCTGACGTTGGCTGTAGAGCTTACATAAAAAAGTAAAACAAACAAAAAAAAATTTTTTTTTAATATTCTGGTTTTTGTTGTTCTTCCATGATGTAATATTCAGCTTCTTTTAAAATATATTTGTGGTTATCTGTATGCTTAGGCATCTTACGTAGTTATTAATATCATCCATTCACTCAACACATATTTATTGAGCCATGTACTATGTGCAGACAGGCATTGTAGCCCAAAGTTGAACAACCCTAGCCAATCAAGATTGTTTTATGTAACTAACATTTTGTGGTTGTTATGCAACAAAATGTTGATGAATACACCGTACTTATAATTATTAAGTCCTAGATTTATTTAGTCTCAACAGAACACTTCTATACCATGAATTCTGCATTCTTTTTTTTTTTAAAGATTTTATTTATTTATTTGAGAGAGAGAATGAGAGAGAGAGAGAGAGCATGAGAGGGAGGAGGGTCAGAGGGAGAAGCAGACTCCCTGCTGAGCAGGGAGCCCGATGTGGGACTCGATCCCGGGACTCCAGGATCACCACCTGAGCCGAAGGCAGTCGCTTAACCAACTGAGCCACCCAGGCGCCCTGAACTCTGCATTCTTGACCCTGCCACCTAGATTTATGTTTTTAGGAACGGTTTAACAGAGATATATTTTCAAGGAATTAAAAGTTTGCAAATTTTTTATCCATAAATGAATAACATATACATAATCTAAAAAATTACTGAGTCACAATCTTTTCCCTCCAGATCTCTGTAGTTGTTTCATCATTACCTTCTGGCATTTAGTGTATTGAACAAGTTTTTTGTGTGTTTTTCTTAAATATTTTATATATTTATTTGACAGAGAGAGAGAACAAGCACAAGCAGGTTGAGTGGCAGAGGGAGAGGAAGAAGCAGGCTCCCCACTGAGTCGGGAGCCCAATGCAGGGCTTGATCCCATGACCCTGGGATCATGATCTGAACTGAAGACAGACACTTAACCAACTGAGCCACCCAGGCATCCCTACTGAACAAGTTTTTGACTGATTTTTTTTGTCCCTTTGTAGGCTGTATATTTTTTCTGAAAAAAAAATTGTAATAACATGCTTTAAATTCTTGAAATTAAAAAAAAATTCTTTAGAACATTTTTAGTGTCTACTTTTCTTTAATTGCTTTTGTCTTGAATCCCATGAGCATTTTCATTTGCAGACTAATGAGAGTTCATGAACATTTTCTATTATGTATTTTCATTACTTATTTTGCTCATTTTGTGTGTATTCTGTTCTTTGATTATATTAATTCATCAAAGTTTGCTTCTCAGTCCTCTGAATCCTATATTTATCATTTCTTTAAATCTCATTGGTTTTACCTCTTCATCATTTTCCTCTTCATTCTAGGGGGAGTGGTGGTTTTCAAATTTTCTTCCTTATCAATTAAATGTTTATAGTCACTTTTTAAAAAATGTTAGGTTTATTGAGTTATAACTTATAAACAGTAAGATTAAGCCTTTTTAAGACTATAGTTGATAAGATTTGACAAATATATTTAGTCACCACTCTAATCAGTGCACTCTGGGCAAGAGTAGAGTGAGATAAGCAGGACACCAAGGATTGAATTTTGGAAAATGATCATATTTAGGGTCAGAAGGAAGAAAAATCAGAGGACTAGTTTTTAGCCCCAATTCCTGCTATCATTCCAGAAGATTTTAGGTTCATATAGAGAGTCCTTTCACCCTTTTGCCCTGTTATGTGCTGAATTGTGCTCCCCCAAATTCATATGTTGAAGTCCTAACCCCCAGTATCTCAGAATGTGACTACCCTTGGAAATCGGGCCTTTAGAGATGTAATTAAGTTAAAATGTGGTCATTTTAAGTTGTGAAATTTAGTCACAAGTACAGGGGAAGATTACATAAAGACCCAGGGAGAAGATGGCCAAGGAGAGACGCTTGAAGCAGATCCTTCCCTCATGGTCCTCGGAAGCCAACCCTACCAACATCTTGATATCAGACTTCCAGCCTTCAGAGCTATGAGAAAATTAAATTTCTGTTTTGTAAGCCATCCAATCTGTGGTACTTTGTTATGGCAGTCTGTGTACTTTGTTATACACTCCCTTAACCTTTTGATCCACAATTAAGCAAAATCCCAATCATAGAAAATTCCAATTCTCCCAGGTCAATGAATGCTACAGAACCATCCCACCCTTAGAGCTGGGCAAGAGTGGTTCCTGTACTGCACGTATGGCTTTACAGAACAATTTGGCCCTTTTCCTGCTATACCGAACCCCAAAGAGCAAGGAATCTGTGGGGCCAAAAAGACAGGTTCACTCAGAACCTATGTCTTCAATTCTAGATAATGCTTTTGAGTAGCAGCTGGTCTTTGAAATCTCTGCTCACACAGCTCCAAAAAGGCTAAGAGTGCCTTTCCCCCAGGTCCTTTGTGCTAAGGGCCAATAGTGCTTCCAGTATCTAAATCCTAGACCCAACATGTAGTAACAAAGCTCCTAGGCCTAAGAGGTGGCTTAGCAGTGGAGTGGAAGTAGGCTTGCAAATAAAATACAGTATACCTTGTTAAATTTGTATTTCAAACAGACAACAAATAAGTTTTTAGTACAAGCAAGTTTTGAATATTGCATGGTACATACTTATATTAGAAAGGTATTGTTTATATAAAATCCAAATTAAACAAAACAACTTTTTTTTTTTTTAAAACAATGTAGGAACCCTACGTGGGGTCATAGTTGGGCATTTGAGCTGGGTGTCCATATGCATGAGCACAAGGCCACTAATAGTATCAAACTGAGCGGGAGGACATTATCCAGGGAAGGCAGGATACATGCGCCAATCAATTCTCCTTGAATCATCCATTCTGTCCAACACTGGAATTATACATTCAACCTGGCTTTCTAGGTCATTTTCAAAATAGGACAATAAAACATATTTATTTTTACATTTTGTTAACTGTATTTATGTTTAAATATTCAGACATATGATGTTTGGGTCTCTATTTTCACTCTTGCCCCAGCTGTACAAATGTCAAGGGGTTAATACTGTGTTGCAGAAAATTGCCTTAAGAGGTCAATGGTATCATCAACCACATTTAAAAGATGAGGAAACTAAGGCTTAGAGAAGTTAAATATAATTTGCCCAAAGTCATTCAGCTAGTGGAATCCATTTTCAATGTTAGATCTGTCTGAATATAAAGCAAATACTCTTTTCTAAGATGACATGTACTGAATGGTGACTATAGTTAATACCGTATTGCATATTTGAAAGTTACTGCAGATCTTATAGCAAATATTCTTCACCAAAAATAATTTACTATGTATAAGTTGATATATCCTTTAATTCCATCAGTTTGCATAGATGCATAAAGCTGGTGCATTTCATGGGATATCAAATATAGGTATAACAAAATCACAATTGTTCAGGCTTTGATCCTGAATTTTATGGGTCTAGACACTCAATTCTGTAAGTGTGCCCACATTTGATAAAACTGTGGGTTCATGTTATAATTATACACTTCAAAACACTGATTTATAAAATAGAATGCCAATTTAAGTTTACAATGACCAGTGTTTTTGGTAGAATAATGATTTGTAGGAATCTCTCTTTAAGGGAAATGCCAACCAGAGGACCAAATTAAAACACAGAAAACTGCCTGTTTAGCCTAATGTTAGAACAAAAAGGGTAAATATTCTTAAGGTAGTATTTCCGTCAAGATAGGGGAATTGTCATATTCCACTCTAAGAATAATCCATCCAACAGTGGGAAGGCGGTTCATACGCTCTGAAGCTCAAAATACCCGGGTTTTTACTTCTTACTATTTAACATCTGCAGGCCTCAGTTTCCTTATTATGTAAAAAAGGCTTCTTGTAAGGGCTGAGATTGTTCATGTAAAACACCTAGCACAATATTACTATCACACTATGTATACATTATTCAAAATATTATACATTATATCAAATGCTATATTATTTATTATTATGTTATTTATTGCTATTGTGCAATTTTTATTATTGTTCTATTTAACAACTCTTGCTAACCTGGAGAAACAGGCCATAAGCGCGCTTCCCAGGCGTAGAGGCGGGTACGAGTTACCATGGCAACAGCGCGCGCCTAGACATCTTCCGCTCGCGCGTCGCTGGGGAAGAAAAAAAGCCTAAGCTGCGTGTTGCGTCATCACCGCGCGCTCGTTTGGGCTCTCCGTGCTGTTTTGGAAGGTCCCGGCCCGGCTACCGTCGCTCCCTGCCAGGAATTATTCTTTCTTTCGACCTTTGTTACATTGCATCGAGCCTGCAAGACTGTAAGTACTAAAGAAAGAAAGAGGGCAAGCGAGTGAGCATTAAAAGAGATGCCGCAGCACACTCCCCACCTCTGAACCCTCCCTATGTTTTCTTGATCCTATCAGCTTCCTCTCAGCTGGGATCGCGCCGCGTCAACTTCCGGGCGGGTGCCCGCCAGCACGGCCTCCGCCGCTCCCCTTCTTTGGCCCCTTTGTGTCCCCGCAGTATCGCGGCGCGGGCCCTGGCACGTCCTTTCTCGAGGCAGGGAGCACCATAGTGCAGGGAGCCTCTCCTTGTGGGCGGGCGCGCGGCCCGCAGGGGGGTTAGAGTGGGGAACGTGCCTGCGCGTGCTGGGGTAAGAGGAGGTTGCACGAGGGTCAGCTTGTGGTTCGAGGAAGGCGGGGCGGGGAGGGGGGATACGAAGGGGAGTAGAAAGAGCAATGGAAATTTTAAGAAAGATATCCCTGTCCACCTTCTGATTATTGTGGCCTAACAATGAGGCGCAGCCATAATAGTCATCCTGTGCCACTGGCATGTTTGCGTGCTTTTAATTGCCTTGGGAATGAACTGCTAAGGCTTTGTATTTTATATTGTTTTCATGGCCTCTTTTTCTCTTTTTATTTTCTTCCTGCAGATAGTTCATTTAAAGCTCTTAATTCTACAGGGTGGTGGTTTCTACCAATATGAATCTTTTCAACTTGGACCGTTTTCGCTTTGAGAAAAGGAGTAAGATTGAGGAAGTGCCCGAAGCAAACCCTCAACCCTCCAAGCCTGGCCCTTCTTCACCAATTTCTCTTAGTGCTGAAGAGGAGAATGCTGAAGGGGAAGTTAGCAGGGCAGGCACACCTGATTCAGATATAACTGAAAAAACAGGTGAGTTACAATGTTGCAAATTGATGTAGCATCAGGAGGTATTTTTAAAAGATGAAAGGCGGAAAAGAGTCTAATATTCTTCATGTCGTACATAGTAATATATTGTCCTCCACCTTGCCCTTTAAGATACTGCTTTGGGGCTGCCATAGGCACCATATACCTAACCGTCAACTGAGCATCCATGGCTTCTTCAGTTTTGTATGGGTTCTTGGAATATGGCCCAATGATGGAAATTGATGTCTGAATTTAGGTCATCCTTAGGTCAGAATAGTTGCCACTGGAAGAGAAACTAGGTGATTCAGACCAATGATGTAGACTTTGAGTCTTATTTGGCCAGGTGTTTACATTCATCTCAGTATTTTTCAAAAAAATACTGCTCACTTAATATGAACCAGACTTCACTCAAGGTGCATGAAGACAACCTTTGGACAAATGAAGAGCAGATCACATTCAGATTTTACCACCATTTGACTTCCTGGAGACCCCAAGGGTGCAAATGAGTAATTGGTATTCTTCAAGGTGAAAGAACCATTTTTAACCTCTTCAGCAGATTGTCCCAGATAATGGGATTTGAGAGGAAGCCAAAAATTAGCATTTCCATTTTAGTCTGTGTTCTTTGAACAGTTAACAGGATATATTTGAACTCCTATGTTTTAGGCACTGTACCGAGTGCTTCACATTCTCTCATTTAATTTGCACAGCAGTCCTACAAGATATTATGCACATTTTGCAGAAATGAGACCCAGAGAGGTTAAGTTGTTAGGAATTTGATAGACCTGGAACTCAAATCCAGTCAGTCTAGTTCCTGAGCATAGACTTTTAATTTTTTACCTTATGCAGTTTCTTATGAAGGGTGGAAGGAATATTAGAAGTTTTATTTTAATGTTTATTTTAGTGATACCTTTTTTTAATGCAAAACTATTTCCCAAGCAGCTTTTATGCTGATTGGCCCTGGCAAGATTGGTAATACGTATGTCATTATCGTTGGGATCTTATTTTGTTTGCTAGTCTTCTATTTAACTGTACCAGTGATGGCAGACTCCCCACACATTACCTTTGAATAACATTTAAAAATCTTTGGGTGTATTTGGAACATGGTGGAATGATTTGGTAGGTTGAATTATGTGGGAATGAGGAGTCATAATTTTGAAAGACTTTGTTTGTGTAAAAGGTTCTGAACTTGTCCAGAAGCTTAGGAGTGCTGTCTCTTTGTTCATTCTTTCAGTAGGTGTTTACTTTGCATAACATGCTGTAGTTAACATGTAGACATCCTGGTACTTTAATATTTTAACAATCAATAAATGAATCTGTTTCTTACGTAGTTAGAGGGGGCTGGGAAGGCCAGCATGTAGGCATGGGATTTTGAGTCCTTAGAAGTCTATACTGCTTCATTTTAGTTAAATGGGACATTGGACAAATTACTTAAAATCTGAGATTAACATTTTTTTATCTGTAGAATAAAAAGCACTTTGTAAACTGGAATACAGTGCAGTGTTTTATTTATCAGTATTAGTAATGTGAAATTCTTAATTGTCTCTTCTAATCAGAAGATGCTGCTATACCTTTTTTTTCCCCTGTTTAAGAAGATTTCATTCATCTTTATTGGGATTTTTTTTTCTCATATGTAAATTCCTCCTATAAGCTGAGATTGCTTTTAGGAATCACATGGTTAGTCTTAATGACATTGGGAAATATGAAAATTAAATTTGTTGTGGGAATGGTGAGAATTCATCCTACTAGGAATAGAGAGCTTTAAGAAAAGATGATTGCAGATGGTACTGTGAATTTGGGAGAATATTGAAAATGAAGGCTAAGTTTTGGTTTTACATTGTAGTTACTAGAGATCCATTAAAGCCTTCACAGATAGAAGGGTAAAATGGTGAAAGAAAGTTGTTTTGTTAAACCAGTCAAGCCATCCTGAGTACTGCACTTTGTTGGAGGGTAAGTTTTGAAGAGAGATAATTCATTTAGGAAGTAGAAAGAACAGTAGATATGGAGAAGAAAGAGATGAGAGAGAGTGTCCTGGGATCTAGCCCTGCATTGGGCTCCCTGCTCAGCAGGCAGCCTGCTTCTACCTCTCCCACTCCCCGTGCACAAGCGTGCCTGTGCGTACGCTCTCTCTCTCTCTCTCTCTCATAACTAAAATCGTCAAGAATTTTAGGTAATTGAAAAAAATGGTAGTTTCGTACATCAGAATAGGTATAAAGTACCCATTCTAACCCATTGGGCATGCCTTTAAAAATTCAAATAAGACTTAAATGTCCTGTCCCTAATTTAGCATGTTGGAGGAGACCTAAGGCAACTTAACATAGAGGTAGGGAATTCAGAATTGAGTGTGGAAGCTTGGGCCTGTATACAGGATGAGAGTTACTGAAGCTGGTTTAGGATCCTGACTAGAGATGGAGATTAGGGAATCATTGGTGGGATATGGATTTTGACCTTACTTCCTTATCATCATATGGTAACTTCTTATTCTGCCATTGTATGGTAATGCTGTGTTTGTTTATTTACAATAGAGTGTTAGGGTCTAAATCAGGTCTAAATCACCTATTTCTTAAATAGAATGGAAATTGTAAAAATTACCTGTCATGACTCTTTTAGCTAACCCTTTTACTTTTGCCAATATGAATTAAGATTTTATTTCCTACCACTCTCAGTTACTGTGCCACAGCCATACCTTTTCTTAAATATGCCAAGGACAGTGCCATCTTTCCTTCTTACTCTTTTCTCTTCTTCCTCCAAGACCCTTCCTGCTGTTATATGCATATGACTCTGGGCTTAGTGAAATATTTACTATCTTTAGAAGCCCTTCCCCTGATCATACTCTTTGAAATAGCAACTCCTCCCCCCCACCCCCAGTTTTACTCACCTGTGTTTTTCTATGTAGTATTTATTTCTACCTAACATGAGTCTATATATTTGCGTCTCCCTTATTAGAATATAAGATCCATGTGAGCAGAGACTTTGTCCTGTTCACCATTGCTCAGAGCAGTGACTGGCACATAGTAAGCTCTTAGTAAATATGTGTTGAAGGAAGGAGTATTAGGTGATAAGTGGGCGATACTAGTACTTTGTACAAATTTTTAAAAGTATCCTTCCTCTTAATGATCTTGAAACAGTCCCATAGCCATCAGGCATTCTTCAGTCATGGTTACTTGAAACTGTTTTTGATGCAGAATGGTCTTCCTTCATCCAGCCTTTGGATATGGGGGCATATGCTTAACTTGTGGGCACCTCTCCCTCCTGTGTTTATTTTGCCCTTATGGTGTCCAGTTATTAATGGTTATTGCTTGTTTACACATTCTTTTTTTCTTTTGACCTTTTTGAGAGCACAGCAGGTTTCGAGGGAATAAAATAATGGCAGATGAGTGACAGAGGAGAGAGCTTATTATGTTTTATGCATAAAGAGTAAAAATAAGAGCAAAGCTTGATCTCAAGGAACACCAGGAGGAAGGGACATATAAATATATATAGTTAAAATAGTACAATGTAATAACTCGGGAAAATATTAAGCAATACAGAATCACAATCGAATTCAGAAATGATTATTTTTGGAGAGGATCAGGAAAAGTCACAGATGACTTTGAATCAGTGAATCAGTGCTTATTTGGTGAACAAGAGATGAAAATACACATTGCTTAGAAGAGTGATATGTCTGTGGGAAGGGAGGGTATCTGTGGAAGAGGAGGTTTAGGGCAGGTATAGATGAAACTGAGAAGATAGAAATGTAAGCTGCTGGGTTGTGAGGGGCCTTTATATGCTATGCTAGGAAGGATGGACTTTTTTTGGTACACACTAGAGAGCATTTCGGCATGGGAAGACCGTTGATGAAGCTGTTGAATTAATTGAAGCCTAAATGTAGGAAAATGTTAGTAGGATAGAGGAGGCATTTTAGGGAAGTTTTATATTTCAGTATTTGATGGTATTTGGTGATAGTTAAATGTAGAGGGTTTAAAGATAACTCAGATCTTTCTTGCTTAGACAGCTGGGTGATGGGCACTGTCAACTGAATTAGGCAGTGTATTTAGGAGAAATACACTTAAGCATGTTGAGTTCAGTTCTCCTGTTTCAGAAATGAGGTCTAGTAGGGGATTGAACACTAGTTTTGTAGCTCAAAGATGGTTGGAACCTGAGAAATCAACTTTGAAGGGGTCATCATTATGGCAGTTAACCAAAAATACCCCCAAAGCAAGGCATGTAGTAAAAAATATCAACATTTAATGGTGGACAAATGAAGGCAAACCAATGAAGACTATAAAGGATAACTTGAATATTCATAGAAAATAATAGTACTCTGAAAGCTAAAGAAAGACCAGTTTCCAGTTTTGTGTATAGTGAAGAGTATCAAATACTGTTAGAGAAGTCAGATTGGATGGGGGACTGATCAGAGACCACTTTCCTTGGAAATTAAATGTTACTGTTGACCTTTAGTAGACAGTTTCAGTAGAAAGGTAAGGAAATGAAGACTAGCCTTTCAAGAAGGAGAAGAGAGAAACAGCTTGACAGTACAGCATTGTCAAAAGAAGATGTTTCAGGATTGTTGAAAATTGAGCATATTCGTTGGCCTAGGGGAAGAAGCTAGTAGAGAGGGAAAGGATGAAGGGAGGGGAGGTATCTGAAGACAGGCATCTAGGGTATGGGAACAGGTGCACAGCTGGACTGTTCAACGTTGCAAAGGAATAGAGACACATTTTACCTGGGGAGAAAAAGTGATAAAATAAAAATAAATGGGTTAATCAATTATTTTGAGGTTGGAATGGAGGAAAATTTTAGTAAATGCTTGATTAATTTCTTTCCTTAGTGAAATAGATTCAGTCTCCTAAAATGATTGCCATTTCAGTGTGGTGGTCATGTTGAGAGTAACAGTTGTTAATAAGAGAAATTTCAAAATTACTCCAGTTAATCAAAAAGATCCTCCCTCCCCCCCCAAAAATAAAAGCTTTCCAGAGAGCACTGCTCTATCATACAGGTTGTATGATCTTGTGTAAGACATCAGCATT